CCGAACGGGTATCTGAATTGAGAACCGACGGGTACGATTCGGTTTTCGGTTTTTAACAAGAATCGAAGAACCGAATAAAAATCGAATCTTTCTATTTTTTTTTATATTGGATAAATCAAATTATTTTAATTTTAATTTTTTCTAAACAAATTAACAATTAAAATTTTCTAAATTCAAATTTCTGGCCCAATAAATTATTTCATTTCTAATTTTTTTATTTTTGGCCCAATTACCCATTTTATTGTCTCATTTCTTATCCCAACAAAATCCAACCCACTAAATAACCCTAAACACCTGCAATGAAATGCATAACACTGTCTCGACTCTTGCAACCTCGCTGACATTCCAAAATCTATACAATCGTCGACCGAAACTGTGACCTCTGATCGAAGCTATGACCTCCGCCAACCGAAATTTTGACCATAGCGATTATTTGAACAAGGTAGTCTACTATTCTCTGATATTTCAAAACTATTGAATGTGTCATTAGTTGTATTTATATAATATTGTTATAAATGTCAAAAAATTTAATTATAGTACAGAACTAAATGGAACCGAACCGAACCAAACTGAACCAAACCCGAACGGTTCCATTTACTAAATACCCGAAAATTTTGGTTTGGTTCGATTTGGTTCTCTTTAGAACCGAACTGAACTGACCTGCGCCCACCCCTAAGTAAAATACTGCACCTGTAGAGAAATAGGCTCTCTTTCGCTGCTTGACTGCACGCTCTGAGGATTAATTTTCGATTCTGCAGGGAAAGAGAGGGTAAATTGAAGGGGAAATAATATTAGGGTAAGTACCTGAAAGGTCCCCAACCTTTTTTCTCTCTATCCCCATTCCCGACTATTTTTATTTGTGGCAACTGGTCGAATCGGGATCGATCTGATAAAAATAAATAAATAATTTTCAAATAATAAAAAAACTTAGATCATACTATTAAGCCCTTGTTTGGTATGAATTAAAAGTTGTTAAATTTTAAGTCCAAATCAACAATTAATTTTATTATGAATTCATGCAAATTTAGGTTGAACAATTATTCGCCTCATTTTGAAATAGTTTAAAGTAAGGTTTTTCGAAGGTTATTTTTTGAGTTCAAGTTTTGAGACTACAAATTTAATCTAAATTGTTCTCAAGTAAATGAGGGGATCTTTTCTTCCAATCCTTGCCTTGTAATTCTTTTTAAAGCTCTCTCGTCCTTTTCATAGTTGAACTTCAAACAAAAATGGAAGGACTAAAAGATTTCACATCGTACTCAACTATTACATAAGTACGTAGTTTTATTTTTCATTTTTGAAAATAACACAAATAGTTTTAACGACGGTAAGAACATCTTCAATAATCGTGTGAAATTTACTATCAATTGTTACATTCAAAAACATTTTTACATCCCCGTCTACATTACAGTGGACTATATCCTATAATTTTATTAGTAATAATATTTTTTTAAATAAATTTTTACATAAAAGTTATTTTTTGTTTTCAAAATGTAAAAAATTACTTATAACTAAAAATATCACTTCAAGTTATTTAAAAGTAAAACAAATTTATAATTGTAAAATCTACTTATAAGTAAAAAAAATATTAACTTAAATTTTTTAAGTATAAATATTTAGATATATATAGTTTTTAAAATTAAATATTAATAAAAATATTACACTATCTAGAATGCAAAAATTACTTATAAGTAAAAAAACACTTCAAGTTAATTAAAAGTAATAAAAAAAACTTATAATTGTAAAAGCTACTTGTAGGTAAAAAAAATATTAATCCCTCATTCTCTTATAATTGCAAAAGCTTCTTATAAGTAAAAAAATATTAACTTAAAATTTGTTGAGTATAAATATTTAAATGTATTTAGTTTTTTAAATTAAATAACAATAAAAAAATTATACTATCTAGAAAGTAAAAAGTTACTTGTAAGTAAAAAATCACTTCAAATTATTTAAATGTAATAAAAAAAATTTATAATTATAAAAGCTATTTATTGATAAAAAAATATTAATTTCAACATTTTAAAGTAAATATTTAGATATATTTAAAATTTAAAATTAAATATTAATAAAAAAAGTTACTATAATTAAAAAAAGAAAAAAGAAAAAAAGCATATGCATGAAGTAATTTTTCACTCCATTCACTCCTGCATGGAATGATTTTTCACTCCATGACTCTGTGCATGGAGTGGTTATCACTCTGCGCACAGAGTTAACTTTTTTTTTTTTTTTTTAATTATAGTAATTTTTTATTAATATTTAATTTAAAAAATCAAATATATCTAAATATTTATTTAAAAATGTTAAAGTTAATATTTTTTTATCTTTAACTAGCTTTTACAATTATAAGTTTTTGTTATTACTTTTAAATAACTTGAAGTGATCGTTTTTACCTATAAATATTTTTTTACATTCTAGATAGTGCAATCCTTTTATTAATATTTAATTTAAAAAACTAAATGCATCTAAATATTTATACTTAAAAAATTTGAAGCTAATATTTTTACTTATAAGTAACTTTTACAAGTATAAGTTTGTTTTACTTTTAAAAAACTTGAAGTGATTTTTTTAGTTATAAGTAACTTTTTACATTTTAGAAATTAAGAATGACTTTTATATAAAAAAAATATTATCACTAATAAAATGAACAGTAAACCTCACATTCTCTCTTTTAAGATATGGAGAGATTTTTTTAAAATTAAATATTTACTAATAAAAAATTACTATAAATAAATTTTTTTTTAAAAAAAATTATTACCATTCCTTGCACGGTGTTAATTAATTAAATAATATTTATATATCATTTATTTAATTTTTGTAACTTTCTTTAATTTTATTTGTTTAATTTGGTTTAATAAAATAATCTTTATACATTCCTTATGATAAAAAGGCATTCATTAAATTTGATTTAAATAATATTTATTTTTTCTTTAAATTGTTTTAATTTAATTTAAAAACTTTATAATAATTTTTTTCTATTTTTATCTACAGTTTTTTAAATGATGATGTGAATTTGTATGTTTGTTTTCTTATGTATATTTATACATGTGGTGCATGTGTGTATCTTTATTTCTCATTTCATTTTTCTATAGGTGTGAGGATTTGTATATTGTTTTGCATTATGGAGTAATAATACGAGAGTTTATACAACATCGAATTGTTGCAAGGTACGAATTCATGATAAAAATGATGAGAAATTCTTATTCATACCTTAATACCCTAATTTTACTGGAATGTTTTTATTGATAATGATGTCCGATTTAAATACTCACTACATGTTGAGAAGTTGAAAGCTCTTCTACAGGTAGAGCTTAAATATTTTGTTTGGTGCTTTTAAAATTTTGGAGCTAGAAGATGAGGCCAAAAACGTGTGACGGGTTGGTAAAGTTTCTTCGGAAAATCTTTGGCAGAGAGATAGATATAGACACAGACAACACAGGCAAAGAAAGAGATATAGATATCATTCCCCTTCTATTAGTGTAAAAATTGTGTCAAGTTGGAAATTGATTGGGACTAGGTTCTAAAGTTCATTTCTCATAGAATATTGTAGGGCGCATTGTTGGCCACAGCTTGAAAAGGCTGTCTCTTGGTAAATATTTCTCATACTAAAATCTTGTAGATGAAATTTGTATTGTAATGTGTTTCTCACAGATGCTATAGACTGTTTACTGGTAGAACAAGAACCTCATTTAGGTTGATGGCTGTGTTTTGCCAACCCGAAAGGTGCGTTTCCAAGAGATATTTTTCTTGATTGATGTATCTACAAATTAGTTCTATTGTAATCTGGTTTTCTTAAGATGGGTGAAAAGGCTTCAATTAATCTTTAATTATGACTGCAGTTGAAAGTTAGAAATCAAGATAATATATATGTTGAAATCAAAGATAGATGCAACTTATATTTCTGAATGAATGGAATTAGCTACTGTATGGATGCAATTTCTTTCCCGTGAGGTTTCTCAAACAAATTCGTTCTCGCAGTTCATGATTCATGGGTTTGTGTAATAATCTTCAATTTATTTCATTCAGTCTTCTTTTTCTTCTTAACATGTATTTTGTCTGAAGTGTTTAGCCAGAGAATTCCTTACGATAGGATTTCAAAAGATCAACTACTTTCCATTGAAGGGCGTCTACCGAAGCAATCTATAGTTTCTGTGACATTTTAAAACCCACCGAACAATCTCTATCTGATGCTGCTAGGCTTTCAGTGGGATTGTGTAAAATCTAAACAAAGAAGCGTATGAAAACTATTTCTCTGGTTTTTTGTTTCTAGGTCTAAATTTTTACATAATTGACTCTATCTATTTGCATTCATTTGTTAGGATTTTAGAGTTTATTATGTAGGCAGACTACATTTTATATTTTATTACTTTTTTCTTTTACATACATCCATGAGAAACCAGGGCATTCAACTAAAATTGCCTTCAAAATAATCCATCTCGTGCATTGCACGGGCAAGGACTAGTTCTAGTAAAAGAAGCACATATGGTGGACATGTAATTTTCTAATGAGATATTTTGGTCTTTCATCAATATATATGTCTCGAAGGAAAAAAAAAAAAAAAAAGGTAAAAAAGAACTAATAACAATCCAATAAAAAGGAAAAAAAATAAAGCTCTCTATACCCGATGCTAGACCTACTATATTCAGTCATTCCCTTTATTTCAACATCACTTTCGTGAACCAAGAGTCAATAGTTGGGAGACACTAGTAGGTGGTTGCTGAAATGGGAGAGTTTGGGTGGGGTGCCTGAGTGGAAATAACTAATGAATTATCTAATTGAGATTTTACGAGCTTATATACAAAAGCTTATACACGAATATTTTATTAACACACATATGTATTAGATTCTAACTTTTAAGCATTGCAAAAGTTAGATAATGGACATTATTGCACAAGCTAAAGTTTTACAAATTTGTGATTTGCTTCTCTGAGATGGATTTTGTAGATGGCTATCTTTACATACAATCAATCCGTTATGCGATTCCACAACTTGAAAAATGCAATCCTCTATGAGTGATTGAGCACGAAAGTTCCACATACCCCACAAAATCCAAAAACGAATCCAACTGCCATACTAAAGTAAAATCCATCATTGATTAGATTATCCTCCTCTTGGTTTTTCATCCAATCAACGTTATGATCGATCTTTGGAACACAAGCAATTTCATCTTCCGGACAAGCTTTTGTAAGTGGAAGGCCACAAAGTCCAAGGTTTCCCTCAAATGCCGAAGTATTGAAAGTTTGCAAATGAATGCTTTGCGGAATTTTGCCCGACAAGTTATTGTATGACAAATCTAACACTCCAAGTTGATCCAATTGAGAAACACCAGTAGGAATACCACCAGAGAAGTGGTTTCTTGAAAAAATCAAGAAAATCCAAAGACCTTAATTTTTCAATATTTGGAGGAAGGAATCCAGATAGGTTCTTTCTTGAAAGGTTCAATCCAACTAGCATTACAAGACTGGTAATTTCCGCAGGAACGTCACCTACTAAATTGTTGCTTGAAAGATCAATGAGTTTCACCAGATTAAGAGTATTTATGTACTCGGCATCCTTTCTTTCCATGTTACAAATGCACTCTGAAATCCTCCTTTGTGTTGAAGTAGAAATGCCATATCAAACTTAGAATCCACTTGAATCATAGCGGTGAGGTTGTTTAAGCATTTTGGTATACCACCAAAAATCTTGTTTAAAGAGAGGTCCAACACTTGTAAGTCTGCAAGACGCCACAAATTGGAAGGAATACTACCAAAGAACTCATTGGACTTGAGACTCAAAAAGACCAAATAAGTCCAAGTATCTCCCACCCATGTAGGTATATTACCAGTCAACTTATTTTGGGAAAGATCAATAAAAGTCAAGAAAGTACAATTCCTCAACGATGTTGGAATTTCTCCAATGAAACTGTTGTTTTGTAAGTGCAATGATGAGGTGACATTTAGTGAAGGGATCTTTCCAGAGAAATTATTATGCGCCAGATTAAGATAATCCAAATTTTGCAGGTTTCCAAAACAATCCGGAAGCTGTCCAGAGAGTAAGTTATTCGAGAGGTCAAGATATCCCCAATAACAACTAGTTTCATTGCATAAATTGGCAATTGACCCAGAAAATTCGTTACTTGATAAATCCACTACAGATCCGTTCGGAGGGAAAATTGGTAATGAACCATTAAAATGATTAAAGCTCAAATCTACAAAATAGAAAAGGGTGAACTTCGACAACAAATCAGGAAGGACACCATGAAAATTGTTATATGATACATTTAAATATGATAATTTTGGACTTGACTCCCAAAACCAATCAGGGAAGGTGTCTGAAATTTCAGCATTAGAGATATCAAGAGCCTTTAATCTCGTTTGTGTTCTAATCCATGTGGGGAAATGTGGACCCACATTGCAACCTGCTAAATTTACATATGTCAGTTGAACAGGAGGATTCCATCCTAAACTGATATTAAACGAGATACCTGGGTTGGAAGACAAGTGCAACGATTGTAATTGGGAAAGGTTAAAGAAATGGGATTCAGTGATTATGCCTTCAAAGTTGTTTAAACTAAGGTCCAAAGATTTGAGTTTAGAAAGGCTTCCTATGCATTGGGGAATGGTACCATTGAACATGTTATCAGAAAAATCTAAGCCTGTTAACGAGGAAGATAATGCAGGACAAGGCACTTCCCCTGTGAGTTGGTTACCATATAAATATAAAGAAGTTAATCTACTCATATTCCCCAAGGATATTGGAATCTCGCCTTGTAATTTGTTGAAAGCGAGGTTAAGGAAAGTAAGGCTACTGCTCAAGTTAAACACCAAAGGAAATATCCAAGAAGAAGAGAACTCATTTTCCAAGAGCCAAAAGTAAGAAAGAGAATTAGAAGCATTGAAAGGTCAGAGAGGAAGTACCATTGGTAGGTTACATGAATATAAGTATAAATCTTGAAGCTTAGTAAGCTGAGTTATCGTTTGTAACCAATTGGTTGCCATTGTGAGGTTAACATAGCTCATGGACAGGTCACTTAATGAATGAAGTCGAGAAAGCCAATCAAGATTTGTGCTAGTTAGTGAACCATCTTCAGATGAGCCAAGATAAAGAGAATTCAATTCAGAAAGGTTGCCAAGATTATGTGGAATTTCTCCACGAAAATTAGAATAAGAGAGATCAACATACTGTAATCTACCCAAGGAACCTATGAATTGTGGAATTCTACTATAATTGAAATCATTTTCACCAAGGTCTAGATATTTCAAATGTTGTATTCCAAGCAATGAGACGCTAATGTTACCTCTTAGCTGCATACTACGAAGATCCAACTCAACAATATGATTAGTTTGATAGTCACAACTGACACCACTCCATTTGCAACAATCCTTCTTATATTTTTCATTCCCCCAAGAAGAGAGAGCGATATATTCATCAATAAGCTCATCTTTGAACTTGAGAAGAGCTTCTTTCTCCTTTTCTATGCACCTGATGCCATCTTTCATTCCTGTAGAGCGTTCAAAAGTGGCTCTACAACTTAGTAGTAGTACAATGACTAACAGTTGGAGATGTTGAAAGAACTTTTGATCAACTATCATTTTGTGAACAATTGTAACTAATAATTTTCCGATATTCTCTTTTGTGATTTTTCACCATTTAAGCAGACTACTTATAGCATCATTTGTAAGAATGAATTTGTGTAGAAAGCTACTGAAAAGACTATTCATATCAGCAATAACTCATTAGAAAAATGTATTGACTTGTCAAATCAAAGTTCCAGCTATTAATAATCTTTGGATAAATAATGAATTCTTGATTAAACAAACAAAAAATGAAGACTTGACTTAAACCCCACCCTCTAGTGCCAATTGGTCGTTATTGTCATAAAAGATTCCCAAAAAATTCGTTGTGAATAATGAATATATGATTGTAATAATCAATACTAAATGAATAGAAAAATGTGTCTTTTTTTAATAACTTTTAATGTTATATGATGATAAGCTTAAGAATCCAATCACACGCTTATATTTGGGGGTAGAAAACATAGACAACGAGAAATTATTGTTGCATCCTTGTTAAATCAATGAATTCCGATCAATAGCAATGGCTAGAAAAGAAATGTTTGGACTTCTTGTCACAAAAAATAAATAAAAAATAAGTAACTTACACCTTATTGGTTTTTATATTTGGAAAAGATTCTTCACATAATTTGAAGTTGAATATCAAATGACGCACTTACAGAATAAATTATAGTTATTAGTCAGATAATTAGAAAAAATTCGTCACCCAAGAATTTCATTATGTTTTTGCTACAAATTAGTATCTAAATAACATTTGAAGTTGGGTAATAGACCAAAATTAAATAAAGAATTTTGTCCTTTTTCCTTAGTTTGTTTACCCATTTTGCCCAATTTCTGATTTTCACCCTCAATTTTGAGAAACATAACAAATCTATGATATACTTTTTTTTTTTTTTTAACATAATCAATTCTTAACCTTTTAACTATGTAACAAAACTCATCCTTCCCTCCGTTTCAAACATATAAATAACTATTTCAATAAACAAAAATAAAAGAAAGAAGTAAAAAATAAATAAATAAATAAAATTGCAAATGAAATTGCTTAGTTTCTCAAAAGTAAATCCTGCCTAAACATATATTAACATAAATTCCATCTTCTCCAACCAAACTCATCCACCCACAACATCGACACTCACCCATCCTAATCCATTCTCATCTCCTCTCAAACACCACCTTTATAAATGCAGTCACATCGACTACGACATCACCATCACCACTTAGAAAAGTTAATTACAGTAAATGACAGAAAAAAATGAATAAAAACTTAGCCACTTAGAGAGTAGAACCGCCACCATCCCCAAGCTGCGACATAAAAGGAACAATATCTTTTTAATAGCATCAAGAATGTTACCTTGTAATTTCACTAAGGCTACCGCTAAAGTTAGACTTGACTTACCCTCACCTCCCATGCCCAGTACAATAGATTTTTATTTCTAGAAAAGATTTACCAGTGGACCATGATGGCTTAGAAAAATTTTGTGGTCATATAAACGAAAATGGAGAACTTGACCCATCACCTCATTGGTTATTAGGTTTGGAAAAGATTATCCACATAATTCCGAAGTAAAGCACCAAATTACACGCTCAATTCTATATACCATACTTACCAGTTAAAAAACCCAAATCAAAGAGAATTTGGTTATGTCGTTTTGTCACGAATTAATGTCTCGTGTAATGTATTGATCGGAAAGAGTAATCAAAGGTCAAAAAGGTTCAATCAAATCAAATTAGTGGTCAAGGAATTAAATAAATAAATGAATAAAATTTGTCATATTATTGAAAAAATAGAACTTGAAATAGTATAAAATTATAGCACCGGATGAAGTGACTAATTCCTTGGGTTTTATACTGGCGTTTTAGTTTCCCGATTTTGCCATATAACAAGATCGGTTTAGCTGTTGAAATGAGTCCCGATAAGCAAGCAAAAGTAAGGGGGCTTGTTGAAATGAATTAAGTGCAAAAAATTAAAATAAAGCAAAGATACATAAATGAATTAAAACTAATTTGTTTAGTACGTTGCATCAAGAACAATATGGCACCATTCACAATCTATTTGGTTTTTATCTCTATAGTTTGAATTATGAAAGAAATCCAACATATTTCTTCAGTATGACTACTCTGAAAGATTTCTTCTTCTTCTTCTTCTTCTTCTTCTTTTTTTATATAAGAAGCAAAATAGACTTGACTTAGAACATTTCCAAAAGACTTTATAAATACAAAACGTTCTTTATTCTAAAGGGCTAATGCCTAAAATATGCTCAAAGAGGTTGTCTATTTTAACTTTTTAAACTATTCACAAAGTTTAATTATTTAAATTTTAAATTATTCAAACCACATTTAAATTAATTAGTCATTGACATATAAAAAAATATTTAAATAAAATTTGAGGAAAATCAATAAATGTTTCTTGAGAAAAACAAAATGAAGAGCCAAAAAAAGAATATTGTTGGAATGCATAAAAATTTTCACTCTCCAAATTTAAATATGCTCAAAGAGACTATCTAAATTTATTGATTTCTTCTCATATTTTATTTAACAAAAATTTTTATATGTCAATGGTTAATCAATTTAAACGCACTTTGAATATTTTAAAAAAATAAAGTATTGAAATTCACTACTTGTGAAATGTAATCATTGTACATTAAGAATAGAAAGAGTTTTACTCTTCAAATTCAAAAAGCCAAACATACTCTCTATTTTAAAAGGTTAAAATAAAGATCTATTGAAACTTATTTTTAAGCATTAAATTTTTATAAATAAAAAAATCTCTTGGAGATGCTCTTAAACCCCATCCTCTGGTGTTGATTGGTCTTTATTTCTAGATAAGATTCTCCAAAAATTTATATAGGTATCATTTGGTTTAACTACATTTTGTGGAATTCACAAATGTTATCAATTTTTTAATCCCACATTTTATTAACTTTTATCAAATTCTATTAAAAATCTGATTTATAACAAAACCAAACAGGCTGTACTTTCAAGTGAAATTATTAGTAAATACTTAAAAGGAATTGTAATGGATTTTACAAACTGTATGGTTAATAAATATGTAGCAATTGTAGTTATATGGTTGAAATTAATTTTTAACTTCAATTGAATAGAAAAAAAATAACTTATAATTTTATACAAACGTAGGATTAGGAGTCCAATTACACACTTACTTGTTTGATAAAAAAAACATAGACAATGACATAACTTATGGTGAAGTTCCATGTCACCTAGTGAACTTTGTTTTATTGCAAAGTGATCACTAAAATTTGACTTTTGTTCTTCAATTAAATTTATTTACATTTTATAAAGGAATGAGTGGCATGAAAGACCTCCACCTTGGTGCCATGTCAGATTTCCGTTCATCATTTGCACTTTCCGTTTGAAAATCATATTAAAAAAAAAAAATTATTGCATATGAATAAGAGACTTATAGTCTAATAGGAAATAGGACAAAAAGTATACTTATTAATAGAAAATACAATTTAGTGGCTAACATAAAATTTCACTTTAGTTGAGTGGCTAATAGTTTTTATTAACTCTAATTATGGAAGAGATGATACATGTATGACACTTCAATTTCATAAAATTTTTGATCAAGTGGTCCAATATGGTATTATTCATTATAATTTAGACAAATTTTCTTTAATAATTTCTCATAGAAATGACTGCAAACAAATGAGAAAAAAATGGTCATGACTTTGTCATGCTTTTTAAATCATTGAGTTCCTATCAATACCGTAGGCTAGGAAAAATGGTTGACTTCTTGTATAAAGGACAAAAGGAAGGCTTGACTTCGTACCACCCAATTGGTAAAAGAATTTCCCAAAAATTTATATACTTAGGAACCCAATTATACACTGACATTTTGGGTAAAAAACAACAAAAATAGTCACTCAAGTTACGATGAAGTTTAATTTTAGCTATTGAACTTTATTTTATTTCAATGATCGTTAAAATTTGCTTTTATTTTTGTCCTGTTTAAATTTAGTTACATTTTCTAGAGGAATGTGTGACATGGAAGACATGCATATTGGCGTCATGTCATATTTTCAATGGCCACATCACACTCATCATTTTAAAAACCCAACTGAATTTGGACAAATGACTAAACAAAAACAAAAAGTAAACTTTAATGAGTAAACTAAAACAAAATGTAGTTCAATGTTCAACATGAAACTTTCTCATATGGTATGATATGGATCAATCAAAGATTACGAGCTCAAGTTTTGTCAATACCCATTTAATAAAATTGTGCATGTATTGAGTTTTGTTGGGAAAACTTGATCATGCCCACAAGTAAGGGGGGGAACGTTGAAGATATAATTTAAATGATTTGTATTTTGCCCCCTTTAACAATTTCGTCTTTTAGATCAAGTGGTTTGATAGTCAAGTTATTTGAATATTTAGGAGATTAGTATTCATTGTGACTTCAGAGCACAAAAATCTCCAAAAATCTCCTGTAATTTGGATAGTTTTTCCCTAATAAACTGCTCAAAGAAATGAACATCGAACATATGAGGAAAATATGCCGTACTTGTTATATCAATGAATTCCTATATGAGTTCCAATATGTACCGATGGCTTGGAAAGAGTTTGGACATTTAATAACAAAAACAAAAATAAAATTCAAAAATTCAAAAATTCAAAAAATGAAGACTTGATTTCATCACCTTATTGATTTTTAGTTTTTATTCGTTGAAAAGATTTCAAATAAATTTGCTGTTCAGTTCTAGATTATAAGTTTACATGTTTTGTCGTGCGAATCAAAGTTATTGATTGTGAATTTCGTTATGAACTTTGGCACAAATTCTTGTCCTAAGTAATATCAAGCCCTTCTTTGAGCCTCATAAAATTCATTTTCAACCACACAATTTCTCAATAAAATAAATTTATCAGTAAATTCAAAACTCTCTGAAAAATGACCATTATAAAAT